ATTTGATCATTATGAAGACAAATATGTACTCGCTACTTTTACCTTAATCACTATCATCACTCCAAACTTATCTTTTTTATTTCGGCCCAGTCATGGGTTATATATGCTTTTTATTTCTGCTCAGTCATGATATTTGACAGCATACACGGAAATAATTTGCATTGTTAATCAATGCACTGATATTTAAAAGTGTCAAATCAATGTACATAGAATATGATTAACAATATCAACAAGGAAAGGCGGCGTTCAATGAACGGAACCACCACACGACCCATCAAAAAGAACAAGTGGCAAGAAGTCCAGACGGACCCTAAAACAAAAACAGGACAAGGCACAATGAAAAGCACGGACAGTCTAATCACTAAAATTTGTAACTGACAAGGAATTCAAGGAAAACAAATAAATAATTGAATAAAAATTGAGAAAAAAGACTAGGGGCAAAGGGAAAGATACTTACCGTAGACAAGAAAACAACAAGGGACACAAGCACAGTGTCACAAAATGGTATGAAACAACAAAGACAAACATCTGAGGAACACAGAGGGGCGCCGCCTTAGAACGGTCAGCAGCACAAGTATTGGAGTTTAAACCGGTTAATGGTGCACCAAACCTAATTCTTAGCCCCACCATGTTCCCATTAACGAGACAGGGTAAGTATGAATCCTCGCCAAGTGAAATTTTAACAGTTGTTACAAAAAGTTAAATAAGGAAAACACCAAAATGATCATGATAAAAGTAAACCTAATGATCATAACAAAAGTACTCAATGTCCTAAAGGAAGACAGAGCAACAAGAAAATCACCTACAAGGGCCCTACAAAGCAAGACAGAAGGACAGAAGAGAATATTAAGAAAATTCAGTCCCAAAGGACTTTAAGAACTGTCCATCATAGAGTATCCCACTTCGTTCTTCAGACATAATCAAAAGAGGTTAGCTTATTGTCAAACTGTAAAAGGGTTGAACACTAAGCATGCAATATGTCTTAAAATAGTAGGGTCATAACCCCATTTAATAATTTTAATGATTTTAGTAAAAACAGCAGACAAATTACAATGTCCCAAAATCTTACGAAGTTTGTAAATCACGTCGCCATAAAAACAAGGCTGGCTTATCCATTGTCACAGAATAGTTTTCAAATCTTTATTGAATTGTGAAATTTAATCAAAATTACGATTGTAATATTTTGTAAAATATTTTCGTTATTTATGATAGCGGTAGCCCTGTTTTAGAAGCTTGCTGGTAATAAAAATATTCCACTCGTTGAAATCGGCAGAATAGTCAGCACTGGTTAATCAATACACACAATACAGTAGTGGTGAATCAAAGCACATACGATCAACACTGTTTATTCAATGCACATACAGTCGGTAGTGGTTAATGAATATAATACAGGCGGCACTGGTTGAAAAATTAACATACCGCCGGATAATATAGTGTCGGCAGTTGGTTATCAATATACATACAGCATTTATCATTGGTAAATCAATATACATAAAGGTATCAGTGCTTTATCAGTACACATACAGTTAGCAAAGGACGCTATTTTTGCCAAGAATCAAGCTTTGTTAACAGTTGCACAGTTTACGGACAAAATACAATTATTTTTATTCGACAGCGTTGCAGCCTAGTTTTACATGATGTTTAATAAGACACATGATTTACTGCGTAATAACAACATTTCTGACAACTTTTATAAATTCAACATTTTTATTTCATAATATGCTTCATAAATTTAAAGGGATAACATACTTTCGTGAATAAAATAGACAAATCAAATGTTTGAAAATGCTACATTTCAATATGTAAAATGGTCATATGAAGTAAAATATTTTAGCGTTAATATATATTACAATTTATGTTTTAACAAACAAAAGTGAAGACATATTGGACTCTCGATAGATTTTATCGTTTTGAACATTGCTAAATATTTAAATTAAATACATCCTTAGAATGACCAACCCAACTTGCAGACAACAATATTGAACACGTCGATCTTTTTACGAGTACAAATAGAGACAAGTGATACTTCTCTGAAAGTTCAACACATTCAAAACAATACAGTTTATTGAAAAGTTGAACAAAATAAGGCATTATAATATAATTGATTCAGCTTGTGAGCACGGCAACAATTTGCCATTAATAAAAGGCATCAGAATGATACAACCAACTTATTAAAAGAACCAACAATAAATTAAATATACAAATCACTAGCATAAACAGCATGAAAAAAACAATATAAAAAACAAAACATATCTCATCACCTGAGTACAGTTACAAGTTATATTTATTTAAATTATATACGTTTAAAAAGGAGTTAACCCGTTACTGCACTAAGGTGACCATCTATTCCAGCTCGATTCTGAAGCGAATTCTTTTAACATGTCGAAAAAATGCCTTTGGAAAATTATTAATAAAGCCAAATGATAGTTTATTTACATAAACATGTAGTGACACAATGGCAATTGTAATGAGACAATATATTTTGTTTTGATTCTTTCAAATATAAATTGATTTTAAAATATGAAGCAAAATGCTGACATTAAAAAATGTGCGTGGAAATTTACCAACTTATTATTTTTAAAATCATTTCTTGCTATATGGTCACAGAAAGTAGTTGGATTGTAAATTATTAAACATATTAGTTTTACAATGAATCATTTCTTATCATTACAGTTAACTAAACTTGCAGAATTTTAAGGAAATGTATATTGAAACCTCTTATAACTAAATAAGTTTAAACTATTTTATTCCGCATGTAAGAGTTTTATCGTATAAGAACCTAAATATTTAACTGAAATTTAAAGATAAATAAGTGTCTATAAATAAATTACGTAACATTTATGAAGAAATGTATGATAACTGCTTGAGCAAGTCAATTGTTCAATAACAATATAATTTACAAGTATATACATATCAATCAAAACATATATAGTTATCATATTCACAAACAACCTTTATGATATAATATAAAATAGTGTCAATCATGGTACAGCATTTCCTTATTAATGTGTATAAACTCATATTAATAAATTGAACAATTTAAATTTCAAAAAATAAAACAATATATCAACATAAATGTCATATCTGTTTAAAATACAATTCTTTGTTCCTATCAAAACAGGCGATTGTTTCAAAGGACAGTTAACGGTGAACGGCTGAAACATAAACAATAATCACAAATATACAAAATACAACACGAGATACTTAGTATCTGTTAAAAATATCAGCCGAATAAAAGCAATTATTCTCAAAGAACAATAATCCACCTTTAAGAAAACACAATATCAAAGTCCTGATACAGTAACATTTCATCATCTATGAAACAACAGAAACCTAAATTTTAGAAAACTGAAAGTTGATAAGACCAAAGTAATTTAAGTTAAAGATATTCAAATCATTGAAAATTTTGTAGGCTAGGTTTCATAGACGGCAGTGATATACAAATTACCATCCTAGCTCCATAGCACCGGCTGTTGCAGAATTCAATATAATACAAGTGTAAAAATTGTTAAATTTAGAGAATGATAATATCCGCAGATTTGTGTCACAATTACTGTAACAAAATAAGAATTTTTAAACATTTTCCCTGCAAAATGTGCGTTTATGTATATAACCTTTACGGTATAATGGTTTTCATAACAATACGAGTCTCATATTTATATTTATGTATACACGACAAAGCATTCACAAGTCGAGTGTATATCACATTTTAAAAGACATCCGAAACAAAAAAATATAATACATTCCATTATGGCATGAAAGTGTTATCAAACATTTTTCTTCCATCGGTACACATATCAATCAATATCAATCATGCATCAATACAATTTTTGATCATAATAGGTACTCGTTATTCAATGTCATACCAATTATGCTGTTAAAAATACATTATACATATTACATTCACGATGTCATGTTATGAAGCATAAATCCAATTGTCATTACGGGTCAGTCCAAACTTCATCATATGTACAATGTATTTCAGGTCGAGAAATAAAATCAATTAAGGTATGCTTACAATAAACACATTTTTTGCGTCACAATTGGCGTTGGTGTTACTAATCAGTAGGTTTTCTGCGGTATCCCAAATCGAGGCAAAATGTCTCTCCAAAGCAATGACAAAATATTAATCACAGTAAGTGGTTGAACATAGTCAGTATACCCATTTATTGTAGATTGTAATTTTCCGAATTAGATGTCAGTGTTTTTATGATGTCTAAGTTTGCTAAGAACTGTGAACAATAATAAAACTGATACAACAAGATTTTTCTAGATACTACGAAGGCCTTTTGATTTATGTGCTTAGCACTTTGCATATCTTTTAACTTTGTGAACAAGGCAAGTTTGAAAGATTTGATGTGACCGTAACTTGAGAATCATTTTAACAAAAACAAAAAGAAAACAATTAAGTGTTACAAATCGGACGCATGCCTGAGCAAAAATGCACAGCTTGTTCTATATTAGTACGATGGTTCTTTTAAAGTGCGTCATTATTTCAAAAGTACAAAGTAACGATATACTAAGATTATCATTGAGTAAAAAAAAATTAAACGGGAATTTATTGAAATCTGTGACATGTCTAATCCGAATAGTAAGATAATCAATAAACTATTCATGGGAAGCTGTGTTCCTTCTTACGGAAGTACAATTGTTCCTTTCTTTAAAAAACTGCCAGTTTTTATTTACGACACTATATATTCATAAAGTGACCATTTATAGTATGTATTGTTAAAAAATAACATATCAACTTTGTGCGAACTCTAAACATGTCTATTCATATCAACAAAAAGACTGTGTAGCAATTATCAATATTTTCTTGTATCAAAGTTAAGCATAGTATATCTTTAAAGTGTAAATAAATATGTTACGGAAAAGAGAAATACTCATTGATAAACAATCATTCTGATGCAATGTTACCATCACATGTTACTGTAAGTCGTTATGTTTAAAATAAAGTCAATTAACGTAATGCCTGCCACTCAAGTTACGTCACAACAAACCTTGGTATCTACGTGGTTGTTATCATTAATGATTGGAAAGTAATTTTATGCCTCCGACTAATGATAATGTAACTGTCAAAAGAAGTAAAGATAATGATAATCTTGCATGAGCTGTTCCACATGGAAGTGTCTCCTGAAAATGAAATACAAACATTTTTAAATGTAAAAATATTTATAAAAAAGTAAAATTTAGCATACTTAAGCATTGAAGTTTTCGACGTGCATAAAGAACACGTAGTAAACCTTGTCAATTTTCTGTTTTCTTTTACTATCGGATTTTATCTGTTTAAAAGTTGGTATGCCTTTTTTTGCTGTGGGCATGTTTAAAGTCCGCATATTTTAAAATCAATATCATGCACCTGATTATGCTTTTATTAAAAATCATTATACAGTTGTATTTCTTTGTTTAATTTGTAGTTCAAAATACATTTCAACAAAAGGTTAATATAGATTTTACGAGCAAATGTTTTACATGTTTTGTTTTAATTTAATATACATGCTTATTATTGACGATTTGTTATGTTCACTAAAATCAAAATCCAAAACTCTACTTACATTTCTGTAAAAATCAGAGCACTTGGGTGGCTTCAACACGGCATACTCACTCCGTTTTCTATTCTCGCATTGTTCTTCTGCAGACTGTGCGTAGTGTTAAGGAAATCATCAAAATATTCTTATTGATTTAATTAATATCACACCTATTACATGTTGAATCGTTTTATATTTCAAACATTTAATATCAATTACACATCTTGAGGACAGAAGACTTTATATAACATCCGTACTTTAAGATTCACGTCATTCAAGCATATACGTAATGCGATGTACACTTGCTGTGTTTGCATGAACATTCTTGTTTGTGAGTTAAAGTTATCCACAATTCTAAACTATCAGTATCTTAAATGTAAATCTTGTTTTGATTATTTAAAATGCATCAATTTAAAAGAGTAAAAAAATAATATTAATCGAATAACATGATAATCTAGTCCCTTATCATAAAATATTAAATTGCTTATGCTTAACTCTGATATTTCTGAATGCATGCATGGATTTGTCCAGATTTAAATCTAGAAAAATCATTTGAAATGAAAACGATTTTAATAGCAAAATTAAAAACAAAACAAAATAAAATGAGCCATCAATCATCAGTATCGTGTCAGATCAAACTGCATGAAGATAAATGCGGACGACTAAGACCAATCATATTTGGTTTGAGCAGGTCAGATATATATATAGGTATGGTAAAGTTTTAAGGATATCATTAATTTCTGTATGGGCCAGGCCAAAATCGTATTGTTGAGCATCCTCACAATAGTCACAACCTCCTTTTCCCTTTGACACGACTACCAGCAGTAAGTTAGTATCATTTACCAACGAGACAGTGTAGAAAATATTGCACTGTAATGAAATAATCAATTGCATGGTTAAATATAAGAAGACTTCATGATTAGCTGATACAAATAACACCGTTTACAACTTGATAGCAAATAAGAATATAAAAAAACGGCGGGAAAAACACACGTGTGTTGGATTAGAGTCAGGAAAAAGTCACATGCTAGTAGCATGTATCTGTATAAACGATATGTATATATACTATAGTTGCCTTACTTTTTCCAAAATTTAACACGTTGTATTTAGTTAAGGCCTCATCTGATAAAAAATTGATTTATTTTACAACATAAATTAATACATGTAATATCAGTAAAACTTAAATAGGACCTGTATTCCAGCTGGCTAAGCGCGGAACATAATATGTTTACTTTGAAAATAACCTAGCATTTAAAAGGAAATGCTAAATTTGGGCATATCCTGAAAGGTCATTTCGGACTTCTGGTTATGTTTCGACTGAACAGTTTGGTGAAGAAAATATACCCCTGCCCTGCTGAGTGTTGATAGTTAAAACTTATACAAAGTATAGGATACATTTTGTCAATATAAATAGCATTTTTATATATACAACGCTCATTCTTAAAACAATAATTTAACTTTAAAGAATAAAAATAAGAGAACTACTTATCTGTTAAAATACCAGTGCACGTGTAATCCGTCATTCTACACCTAAAATTGTAATAAAGGAACAATGAAACGCATTACAAAACAACCATAAAACACTTTACTGTATTTTTTAAAAGGTATAAATTGTTGATGCAGACGGTCGAAAATGTTTTAAAAAGTTTTACCTTGAACATAAATCAAACTAGAGTATTTGTATTAATACATGACAGTAACATGATAATTTCATGTTGACAACAGAAGGAAACAAGAGGGCCATGATGATCGCTCACCTGACCCATCGAACTCATCCGAACAATTACCTAGACAAGCATTTTGACCAAGTTTCATGATAGGGGAGTAAAAAATGTGACCACTAGAGTGTTAACAAGGATCATCAATATTTAAGAAGTGTGACGTTGTTTTTTACCCCGGTGACCCATATTCGAACTTGACCTAGAAATCCCCAAAACAAACTTTCAGACCAATTTCCAGGATACTTGGATCAAAACAGTAGCCACTAAAGTGTTACCAAGCTTTTTCTATTTTTAGCGCCGGTGACCTTGTGTTTCATGCAAGATAATCTATGTTCAAACTCATTTGAGCAATTACCTAGACAAGCATCCTGACTAAGTTTGATGATAATTGAGTCAAAAATGTGACCAATAGAGTGTTAACAAGGTTTTTCCATATTTGGGCGGTGTGACCTTGCTTTTCATTCGAGATGACTCATGTTCGAACTTGACCTAGAAGAAATCAAAACAAACTTTCAGACCAATTTACAAGTTATATGGATTACAACAGTAGCCACTAGAGTGTTTAAAAGATTTTTCTATCTTTAGCTCCGGTGACCTAGTTATTAATCCGTGATAACCCATGTTCAAACTCAATGACACAGACAAGCATCCTGACCAAGTTTGATGATAAATGAGTCAAAAATGTGACCACTAGAATGTAAACAAGGTTTTTTTTTCATATTTGGGCAGTGTGACCTAGTTTTTAAAACCAGGTAATCCATATATAAACTTGACCTCGAAATCATCAAAACAAACTTTCAGACCAATTTACAGGGTATTTGGATCAAAACAGTAGCCACTAGAGTGTAAACATGATTTTTTATTTTTAGCTCCTGTGACCTATGTTTTCATCCGAGATGACCCATGTTCGAACTCATCCGAGCTATCAACTAGATAATCATCCTGACAGTTTGATGATGATTGAGGCAAAAATGTGACCGCTAGAGTGTTAACGAACAAGTGTAGACGGACGACAGACGAAGGACGACGGACATTCAACGATCCTAAAAGCTCACCCTGAGCTAGCTCAGGTGAGCTTAAAACATATGCAACTATGGCATTTATTTTACAAATGTGCCTAATCAATAATATGTAGTTTTTGTTTTTGTTGTACATTTTGTTAACTGCAGGTCGTCTATATTCAAAGTAAAACAAATGTTTCATGACAGACACGAACTAAGTCAAATTATCATGGCTTTCATAATTTAATGTTGAATATTGTTTTAGATATTGCTATGGAATATTGTAATGCCTTGTCCCATTTACGTCAATAAGAAGACACAATCAAACATTACATGCAAACGGATTTTTGGAGAAAGCTATATTAACAATAAGATACAATACAAATACCAGGTTTCAGTAGTTATTATAACTCCTACCTTGAATAATCTGTCGCACAACCTTTAACGGTGCCTTCAGCGGCTTTCCTGTCAAAATTTGCTTTGTACAATGTAAATTGTCTATGACATGGGCGATGCCCCACAATTTTCTTGTCGGCACTATCTGATGAACATGTCAATTTTACCTGAAGCAATATTTTGTTTTTATTACACTGAGTATAATGCAGTTCCTTTTAACTCACCGAACTCTGGTAAAAGCATTAGGGTGGATAGCAAATATTTTATAACACACAATTAACATTAGAAATTTGTCCATAGGACTCAAGTGCCCCAAACACTACCTTCTACTGACATACAGCAGGATAATATGTTATCATACTTGACTCTCCCTACCCCTAAGTTGTTGGGGAAGAAAAACAACGTCCACTTTTTTTCTAATGTTGCGTACTGATTTTTGCACATTTTCACATGCCGACCAACAGTCCTGTAAACTTTAATGACTAAAAGTCAAATACTTCTTCAGCTATGTGCCACATAATTTGAAAAAATCAACATTATACTATGTTGAGTGCAAAACTCTTTCAAAACTGAAATGATATATATGTTAAAACAAAGGTGCACAGCTTCACATGCTGATTAACATTCCTGTAAAGTTTCTAGATTCTAGCACAACCACTTTTTGAGATACACATTACAAAATATTTTGAAACATTTTTGTTGTCACGGACACTTACTCAACAAATTATGATTAAATATACAAAAAAAAAACAAACAACAGGTGCATATTTACAAATGCTGGCCGACATTTTTCTTTGTATCAGAGTTGTGCTACTTTTTACTATTAAATACGTTTCAGAGTTAAATCGTTTACCAATGCATGCAAAGTGTGTTTCCTAGAGTACAGGTATTAGCTACCCGCTCTCACTGTCTAGAACATGCTCGTTGATTAAAACTCATTTTTATTCTAAGGTTTACATATTTTGACGACAGGGAAAGAGATAACGATAAAAAGGTCATATTCAGATGCTCGTATATTGGTTACTATTTTCTGGGAGTATTTTGAGGGAACGTGTTTTCTTTTTAGCCTATGATACAAAAGAGAAAGAACACCAAAACTATGGCACTCTTATAATCAGATAGTCTCGTGTTTCGATACTCTTTCTATTACGTATATAATAATTTACCTGGTTATATGACATACGCTCCTGAGGTTTAAGGTCTTCATAATCATAATCTTCTAAGACCTTATCACATTCTTCCTGTTCATTTTGAGCTGTAATAAATAATTCATTACAAGTAGTTTGTACAATATCATGCTATGTTTTCAAAATTAACAAATTAACTTAATCTGCATTAAATACGTAAGAGAAATATGACTTATGCAAAAGAATGTTATAGCGCTATAATAGTATATATTGGTTGCATTTAAAGTAATAAATGTATGACCAAAGGAAATAAAAGGGATTCATTTCTTTTAAATATAAGGTATAATCATAGTTGGAAAATCATAAAACTTTTTTCAGAAGATTGAACAAAAAATTAAGATTATAAAATTTTACGAGGGCTTACCTGATTCAACATACGTCAAAGATGTCAATGCTGATCTGACACTGAATTCTGACAGGAACCTTAAATAAAAAGGAACAAATTATATGCGTAAAACAAAAAGTGAGCCATGTACTGAATCCAGTAAAGCGAAAGTATTATTTACTAAAATGTTCACAAAACTCATGATTTAAAATAAAATGAAGTAAGTTTACTTACATACATATTTCTGTGATTGTCCAAAGCAAACCATTTAATATGGATTTAATTGGCTGAAAAAGAAGGCAATATCAATAATGATGCAATATTTGACACATTTAACTTAGTACATACACTACAAATTCATCCATGCAACTTTTAACTTACATTAGATACGTTATTATCATTTTAATGGTCCTAAATCAAACGGATGTGTTTTAAGTCAAATACTGGTTATTGAAGAAATCAGGTGCCATGTATGCATGGTATCCGGGAAAGCGTACGGAGGAGTGGAAACATCAACCTTATTTAAACTCGCTAGATAGCTTTGTCCCGTAAAATAGTCCTAAATTCTAGAGCGCTTGGTGGGAAAGGAAAACATAAAGTGGCGATGACAAGTGCTACTTCCCCTTAATGTTCATTACACAATTGATCAAATTATGCTTTTATTTAATATTGTCAATGCGTTAATGTACATGCAATAAATTCAATAAATCTTATATGAAAGCTGAATGATGTTTCTAATGTATCTTATAGCATATTATGTTTGCAGTTTGCTTCAGAATCGGCTCATCTACATCTGTCCAATACCAACTCCCTGTTCAGGTCCCCGAGATTATATTTCATATGCTAGGTTTATTTATAATTTGTCTGTGTAAATATATTGCACTAATAACGTCGATATCAACTTACATTGAGCAATTTGATAGCACTATTAGACTCTGTCTCGGAGGCTTTTATATCACAAAGTGCCTGGTAGTCGGTGAAGTTATACCTACAAATATATAAATTAATGAATCGCTTGTATTTTATGACATATCAATATAAATATGATTATCGTTAAATAACGTGTTAAGTTATGTACATTTCATTTCAATTTATATTCTAATTTGTATATGACTCTTAATATGCCAGCATTTATTTAACGGCTACTCTATTTATTTTCTTTCATTCTCATAATTTTTTTATACAAATTCATAAATACATCAATGATCATATTGGAAATGATAACATTTAAAAAAATATATAACAATTATATTAATGTCCTAACCCTGTATATACACCGTCATCAAGTAATGCCTTCATTACAGCATTTTCGACGTCCCCGAAAAATTTACCAACAGCTAATTCAGAATCAACAAGCTTTGACATAACATAACCATGGTTGTCGATAAGGTAACATAAAACGGACTGAAAAAGAACAAAAAATATACAATTATTGACTAGTGTTCGTTGAATATGATGTGATATTCACCAGCATATAAAATATTGACCGAGGCTTTAGGTAGTCAATAACTGTTTTATTATATGTAGAGTCTCAGATTTTAAGAAGATCACAAAAGTTAAAGCCTTATACAAGATTTCCCTGTGAAGGACAGGAAAAACATTAATATCTGTTGTAACATATTATATAAAATTTCTAATTCAACATTTTGTTCTTCTAATTGTTAAGTACATATGTGCACTAATATTCATTTTAACGGATAATCCACAAATAATATAATGTATACTTAAGTTGTACAGTATATCACATGATATAGCAAACATTAGTTATATATTTATATGTTGTATAATACCTCGCCATCACAACTTTGATTTCTGTATCGTGCACTGCTTGTACTCAAATTAAAATAACTTTCCAACATTTTGTATTTCATTTGATACCCGACTACTGCAAATATTGTGGGCACACGTCGTCTTCTGTAACGATAAAAATTCACAGAAACAGATTATTCTTTTGCCTTTTATTTGTTATTTGATACGTCTACAACTGCCTTTTAGCATATATTTGCTTAATGAAAGAGTTTAAAAAGAGAGAAATGTTTGATTGATAATAAATGCGCAAATTTGTCGATTGTGAGCACATTTTTATGGAAACTAGTCATTAGTTAAATCAAAAGATTATATTTCTAGCGTATTAATTGTATTTGTTTAGCATAATTCAATGATAACGTCTTCTACGAGAATTTCTGTTAACAACCCCCGGCTAATGTCACAAATAACACAAATCAAATCGGTGCACATTAGGACAGCTTTAGTCAAAATCATTATTATGAAATATATACATACTTGCTAATGGGTGCACTGACAGTAACCAGCGTTGTATTCGGATTGAAAACTATTAAATTAGAAAATAACACATGTCATATAAGTTGATAATGATTTAATACATATAGTTAATAAAAAGCCCGTTCTTAAATACTGAACGGTATTTTATTTTATGTTTTTGAAAAGTGCGACGATAAATACTTCATTTGAAAAGTTCTAAAATAAAACGATAAATTAATAATTACAATCAGCAAAAAGCAACATTATCAATGATATAAAACTACAATTATTCGATGAACGTTAGTTTTGCCTCCGCAAATGTATGTGCGCACAAGTGTTTGCCACCTAATATTTTTATATGAGTATATAAGTATAATAGAAATAATAATTCAATAATAACTGTGTGTAATAGTAACACGTAAAGAAATCTGCACGATATCAAATACTATCATATATTATGTTTTACATCTCAAGTTATATACAGTTGTACTAACCTTTTCCCAATGGAACTGAAAATGTGAACCTGTATTCTGGGTTGCTCTCTACTCCTTCTATAGCTCTCTTGTAGTACAGAGCATCTAATGTGTTGGTGTTGTTTAATATGAAACCACTGCAATAATGAGAATAAAAAAATTGTGAATAAAATTCCTCGACCTAGAATCATCATGGTGGTCTTAGAGGTATTTATTTTCGACAGAACATATTGCAAGACTACTGTTTTTGTAATTGTGTATTGAAAGTGTCCTCTTCTTGGTTGCATCAAAATACGTATATATCTATTTATTGGAATGAATAAGGCTATTTGATGAAAAAAAACATGTTATGACTGAATATTTAAAACAAACTCACGGAACGGTTTCATTAGATGAAACATATTTTGTCAGGCCAGTGCTTGTACCAATAAAACGAAGCTCAATATCCTTGCTGTAGAAGTAAATTTAAAAAGAAATTAATTACACACACAAATAAAGTGATGAACAGAAAACAAAGAGAACCAAATGTAGCATATCACATAGTTATTAAGTTATATAACATAAGTACGTTTAAAAAATACAGTCATGTACTTTTTACTCCACTCAAAGAATATATTGTAATTAGATAATCTCTGTACAAATATATTGACAACAAAATGTTTGTATCGTAGTTCGTACTATTAAGTCAATTGATAATGTGTTAAAATATCATCTTAACAAAAACAACTGATTTCTGTACTATTTTTAAAGGAAGTAAATTATTGCAAAACATAAACATACATATACATATGCAAAGGGGTATTTGCGTTTGCAAAGCAAAAGTAATCATTTCGAAATATAAGCTTACATTTTCTAAATATTTAATGAGTCGTCAATCTAATTTTATATCTAAATATATGTCCGACTGTAGTCTTATTGGTGAATAAAGAGCTAAATCTATCCATATTACCAAATATTGTGCATCTACTGAATGTATTAAGGGTCATTCGTGCATCAAAGAAATGTTAAAGAAATGTCAATCATACGAACTTATTGAAAACTCATTTTATCTTAGAAGCATGCAAAACTGTTGTTATTTTAGACTTTATAAATTATCAGTTTATATTTGCGTTTAACCAATGTATCATAGCGTTTATAACATATATTATATCAGCCTTTGTAATAAGAAAACAAGGAACTGTTCAATCTATTGTTAAGAACAAACTTGTTATCTACTCACAACCAAATACACACAAATTTGAGAAAAGTTAAAAAAGTTTTGTCGTGGTTACATTAAGTTATTAATTTTGTTTTGTTTTTTTTTTCTCTTTTCGTTCTTGCTTGTCTTTAAGTTAGCATACGGAGCTATGAAGCAAGGAATACCACACACAATATTTTATAGGTAATATAAGGGGAAGGTAAACAATGTTTAAAGATTAGGCAGCAAACAGCAGGGACAAACGTCATACCTTGACACGTAATTGCTTATAGCTTGCAGTTCATTCATTTGACATTCAGTCGAACTAACAGAAAACCAATAAGTTTAAGTCGCATTAAATCATTGCAAGCACATGAAAGACAGATGTAAGTCATTAAGGGTATCTAGATACAAAAGATGTCTAAACAACTGTATAATAACTATTTGAAAAGAAATATAAGCTCATATATCTGTATAACATTGAAAACAGTACGCATCTTAAACATTGACTAATTTTTGCCGAAAGAACGTAAGAAAGTTTGTTTTAGGATTTTTTCACATGAATACGAAACAGTATTTTCCACCATCAAAAAGGGTCTAAAAACAAAATAAAATAATGTATTGATTAATTGTCAGGGAAATACACCAAGAATGACTTCTCAGTTCACTTCAATATGATAAAAAAGAAGAAAAAATATAACAACTATAAATTCATCCGTAGCATAGATTACACTTTATAATCAATCTTTTCATAATTTTTTAGTTTGTTTCATCATAAATTGATCAGAATAAAGCAGTGTAAAAATACATGTTTCATACTTCTTAGTCATTTGTTTAAAGAAAGAATAAATGGGCAATGGAAAACAAAAACTGACACAACATATGAATTTCTGCAGCCATTAATATTACAAATTAAAGTCTTTTCCATATCGATAAAAATGACTTATATTATAATTCTCAAATTTCAGGATATTTTAAGCAAAGTCAAGACGATTTCTTTCCAACGAATATCGTTTTAAATGTTAATATCGTACACATATCGTAAAAACGGTGATCAAATGACGAAACTATATTTTCACCTCTTCTATGATAGAAATGATGTCATGATTTGGAAAGAAACAACAACCACAGATCTTAAAACGTAGTGTTGATTATTTCGTGTGTATAAATGTTGTGATAATAATAAAAGCTGCTGTGATAATCAAATTTACGATTAACAAAGTAATGTATCTTAATGTATCAGACGGGTCCCATAACGTACCAGGACGACACAATACATTTAGAACACTTTATTGAACTGTTAGTATTTACATGTATCATTGTATCAACATAGCAAAGTTGACAGTTTAATGGATACAGGCGGTGCACTTTAAACCAAAGGGCAGTGAACTGTAATGTTTAAAGATAATACTACCATAAGATGTAAGCAAATGATTTTGCGTAAACATAATGCATTAGCTTAACGTAAAAACAATCAGAATATTGTTACATTTTAGTGTTAAATTATAAAAGGAAGGTTTATACTACTTTACCTGTTTGGACTCCGTCCTCCCCAAATATGTTCTAGGCGATTGGTGTCATGCAATAAATTTGTTATCAAGTCTTCGTCACCTTAAACATTAAAGAATAATTGCAAATCATTAAAGCTGTGAAATGAATAATATTCAGAAAGGGTTTTTCATCAGACAATTAAGAAAATGAATATCATAGTAATGAAATGTTGATCCTGTCAAAACTGCCTTGATTATCAATAAGTCCAATACTGCCGTGTTTGCGGTTTGCAAATTCTTTGTTTAATTACGAATTATCTTTCAATAAACACTTTCTTTCCCTAATTATATGTAAAACTAACATTTTATATAATGTTCAACTTACTTACATTGTACAAACAAACTTAAGAGTTTTAGTAACTGTTTGAGCAAATATCGGCTTGTAACTCTATACGCTATTAAACAACATAATGTACACATGTGAAAATTAACCGGAATAGAATGAATATGGTTATTAAATGTCTAATGAAACAAAATAACCATCGAACTGATAACAAAACAAAGCACATGGCATGGACATATGGCTAGCATTGTTAGCTAGCTATGATAAAGGTACTTCTAAATAACAAGTATATTACGGTAAGCATGTATAGTAAGTATAAAATAAAACAATTCTTACACTTGTATTTTCCTCTATTTAGTTTGTACAGTTTATATAGCCTCTTTAGCTCGTTTTGTCTATCAATACCAGTTAATGTTGGGTCAAGATCGTCACAATAAAACCTGAAACAGATACCATTGCGTTGTTATATAAAACAAACTTCAACATTACAAGTAATCAAAATTTGTTGGCATCTGAATCAATGGTCAATTGTGCATACTTTCATTGCGGAGTAGTTTTGCTTCAGATAATTCATTTTAAAATATGTCCTATGCAATATATTTCTAAATACAATTCTATTATCTGATCATGAGTATTTAAAATTGTGTCTTTTATTTTGTATTCCCTTGCTTAAAAGAATTATGATTTAATTATAATTGTCAGTATATATTTACATACCATGGAGCTAGCTCTAAATCCGTGGCATTATTCAAACATTTGTCAATCAAATCTGTAAGTAGATATATAAAATTAAGGTACCAATAATCTCAAAACATAATATTAAAATGAGAAAATTAAAAAAACAAATGGATAATACCAGTTGGGCAACTTTAATCTCATATTGACTGAAACATGTATCCAGAGTATAATATTGTTTTCGCAAAGCGTTATTTTCTTAGTGCTCATCTTTGACGGATGGCATTGCTTGACAACGCTTAGACAGTTGCGGTAATGAGAGTAAAATTGGCCATATATTTATTCTACAATTTAATTTTGAATTTTCTTCTTTTTGGCTTCATGCATTGCATGTTCTTTAATGTTTACTTTTAACAGAACAGGCAACACAGAAATTATAAGTATATATATTATAAAATATATAATACTTACCTGGCACACTTTTAGAATGTTTGTAAAGCTCGCGTCTACTTGCTGGAGGCAAAGCGATACCTATGCTGAAACGTAAATAAGATACATCAAAATTTATATTCAAGCAACACATATATTAAATTATGTTTCATTTCATATGGTTCAATCGGCATATGCCATGTATATGTTTTTGAAATACTTGCCTTTTATATACATATCGCCAATAAACAATGCTTATGGTAATTAAATGTGAATAGAAATATTTGATATATATATTATAGGTATAACAATTACAATTAATTAATAGCCTAGTAATATGCTATTCGAATAAGCTCTGAACTTTTTTTGTGTTTGCATTTCGTTTATTAACCTCGTTTCTGTAAGAGACCATGAATGCAGAACATAAACATTAACAACCTATTCATATATTTATTGAATATCAATACGTAAAGTTAAAACGATTTAATCACTTAACCTTTCAAGAATTACCTAAAATCTGTTCCATGTACTTTGCAATGATGGAACTGGTAGCTCCTATTGGCCATACGTTTCTGTTTATAAAATATAACATGTACAGTCAAAAGTTTGATTAGTGTATATTGAGTCTGAATGTATGGGTTTAGCATCGAACTATTACAAACGTTATGTATTCGAAACATTATCAAAGTATAAAAAATAGGTTATTTTCAAAGATGTCAATAAACTTGTATGTCCACTTTAAATGCAATATGACACTTCTGGAAAAAGCTAAAAACTTTGTTTATTGATAAATTGCATAAATGCTATTTACCAGAGACACTATTTGTCTAAATATTTTCTAAAATTACCACGATGTATATAAAGAATGTGAGAAGATCTTTTGTTCAAACACTTACAGCTTTACACCCTCAATGTTAAGTTACCTGACAAGTTTTGCATGTGGTGATAAGTTTTCATTAATCATTTTCGTTAAATTGATCAAAGACTCCTGCGTTGATAGACACAATAAGTCTAGCTTTGTAAATTATAAAATAGACACAAGTGAACACGCAATAACTGTCACCCAGAGTTAAAACTTGGTGTTATTATCTCGGGAATAAATTTATATTGTTATATTATTATTATGGCCAAATTTCATGCTTTCGATTATAAAAGAAAATCGCTGAACTGTGTAATTATATGACTTCGATAACTCACCATGTTTTGATAGTGACTCAAAAGTTGAATTTCCTTGCTGCCACATTCGTTAGGGTTCTGAAGATCTTTAATTATCTACAAACAAGCACACAAAAACATATTTTCTGTAAAACATTTGATTTAAATTTAAAACAAGATATGTGTACTTTTATGGAAATCTAGGAATGTACATAGCTTATTGAATATGACATAACAGTGACCAACATAATGGTCTGAAGTTTCTTTTTGTCTTATAAACAATGATATCAGACACGAAATAATAATGAGACTGTTTATCCAAAAGCAACAGTCATTTTACCATTTGTAATTACCTCTTCAAATTCATCTCTGTTTACAGGTAAAGCAATATCCGTCAAATTGACATTTTCATAGTATGGATGTAAAACAAGTCCTTTCTGAAAATATTAAAATAATGGTATAGAATGTTATGTTTAAAATAATCATACCGGCAGTGCATATATAATATCATACATCAGTTTTATCATGCTGATTATATTTTGATTAAAAATAATACACTTAAGTGTAGGTCTATATGGCATGGAGACGCTACCTACAGCAACATAAATTAGGTCATAAACTAACCGGCAAAGCATTTCTTTGTAACCCTTAAATGTCAGGATAAGACACTCCCGTATCATTATAATTATATTACGTGATGAAACTTAAATGTCAGGATAAGACACTTCCGTATCATTATAACTGTATGACGTTATAAAACTGTAGATTATCGGATGAAAGTATAAACAGAACCTAAGAAAACTTTAACTTAATTGTACTGCAAATATAAGGTTTGATTCTAACAGGTTCTTATTAATTGCGATCGACACCAAAATCTTATGCTACAAGCGGTCTATCTCGTTTAAAAAAAGTGTTCATTAATGTGAACTTGACACTAGCAGCCTTGATAAAATTGCATGCGAAAATGATTTTTGGTTTGAAATATTAAAAGTGTTATACGAACCGTTTTTGGAATTTTCTTATATGGTCTATAGTCTGGATGCATCAAGACATATCCATTATGGTTTATCATAAAGGCATAACCATTAGCACCAAGCTGAAAATCGGAATGGAATATACTGAACTTTAAATAAATCGTTATTAAACACTACCTTAAAACAATACATTGTTGACATACAACTAGTTTCTTGAGAAAAGGTGATCCCCTCGGAAGCATTTTTCACAACGAAATCATGAGTGATCATAATGAAAAAAGTGCAACATTCATCACGCTCCAAATGACCAGCTTGAGCAGTACTCAATTTTCAACATTTTAATAATGCTAGAATCAATGATCCCGAAGGACCAGAAAAATAAACGCAAAACGCTAACAAAGCAGGTGTATATAAAGGTGCTCCACTTTTCGATATATGTTATCACAGGTTACAACCAAGTTTTACAGTTATGTTGTCACAGATCTGTGCTAGGAAAAGCAATCATAACATTTCGCTTATTATTGATATATTTAACATGTTATTGACGTAAAAACTGTTTATCTCTAGGATAATATAGATAAGCAATGTTCCGAAATTCTATTTAAATGATAATTTTAATATGGTTTATTTACATAAACATTATTTACATTTAAATTATCGTCTGACTGCAATGTAATATTGATATCTCACCTTATGCACAGGAATCCTCTGTTTTATAAGTTCTATAGGCACATCTGTTCCCATTACCCCGAGTAAATTGCCTTCAAAAAACTTGAAAAAGAGATAATTATCTAAATTAATCTAAATTGATTACAAATAAAGGTATAAAGCATTTATCATCCTTTATCATTTGACATTGTGATACGGGGATGGAAATAAATAATGATAAGACTGAAATAACGGTTTTTTGAAATGGTTGTCCTCTTTGGCGATATGAGCAATGGTCGTATCGTGGGACGCAAATCAATATTACCTCTGAATATAAGTACATGGGTATCTTACTAACATTAAGTGTTTCATGGTCATCCGCTCATTCTTAGTTAGTATCTTAGGCTAAAATAGCTCTCTTTGCCATAAATGCTTATCAGAGATCTTTTGGTTATTTTTTTGTTGTTGATCCATTTAAGAATTTTGATTTCATGGCCAAACCGATACTTTGTTATGCATCTCGAATTTTGGGCTTTGAATATGTAGAAACAATCCATTCACAATAAATGTTGTCAAAGTATGTTATATGTACGGGAACTACTAATACATGTGTGGCTCTTGGTGAATGTGGTAGACTTTTTTTAATTGTGTACTACATAATATATTAATTGTATTCGATATTGGTGTAATATGTTAACCATGCCATCACATAGACATCCAAAACAATGTTATAAAATGTTTAAAATCCCTAGAAGATGCATGTAGAAACTGCTGGGCAACCAAGGTTAGAACATTTTTTGTACAGTATGGATTCAGTATTATAAAGATAAGTCAAGATGTTGGCGATGTCAATGCTTTTATTACAATGTTTAAACAAAAGGTTGTGAACTATTGTACACTAAACTGGCAAGTAGCTCTCGAATCCTCTAGTAGATGTGATCATTAAAATGAGTTTAAAAACCTACTTACTGTTGAAATATATTTGACTATGGATATTCTGTCTGTTAAAATAAAGAATTGCTATGTCAAAGTTTCCTCTTTCATATCACAGGATGAATATTGAATTAGGTCGATATAATAATATTATAAAAGAAAATCGTAACTAGATGTAACAACAGTTTAATAATGCATATATAATTGATTGTGAAAACCATGCCTTTTTAAATGTGTTAAATATGATACTTTTAGACAAATGTATTTATTTAGCTTGTACGGGTCATGTTTTATGTCACTTATATTTAATTTGTAATGGGATACAGTGAAGTGACCGTCATTCAAGTGACCATCTACCGTAGTGTTTTGTTGTTGTTTTAGCATAGTAAGCAGATCATAAAATGTCACGAGGTACAGGCACATAACCTGTGCCATTACGGATTATTACGCGCTAACGCCATATAAGATTTTGTACCAATTAAAACACGCAATGTATACTCAATTGATTTAACATACTTACTGTTTCATTTTTCTTATCAAACACTGGAATAGCAACTGATGTCATGAACTGCAGTCCCTATCAAATATTTAACAAAGTTTAATAATATACAGCTAAATAATATATTACTAAAATGAACAGCTAAATTATTAATTGTACTGTAACTAAGATTAGCACGTCTACATCAGAAAACCCATTTATAATTTTTCTATTCCAAAAGCTTAAACATATTATCTGGAAGAGAACTATGTATATGACCATGGTTTGATAGCATTGTTACATCATATCAAATGCTATTTACTTAAAACGTACATTTAAGCTTAAATAAATCTGTTGTGCTTCATTTCAATTTAAGCATAAATCAACATTTTTCAAATTAATATTATTACGTAATTACTCCTCAAAGACGTCATGAGAGATTGTTTTGCAAACAAACATACCTTGTCTAGATCCATGATATCTAGGTATGACATATGATCAAGATAAATTGGTGTCCATATTTTATTTCTGTTCCTATCTATCACCATTTGTCTACTCATTACTTTAATATAATTCTGAAAGAGAAAACAGAACTGCTTGATGAAGATTCATGTTTCTAATTATTTTGATTTATCATTTAATAACGTCATTTGATATTGCTTAACACGAAAAAGTTGTTAAAGAACACAACATGTGGTATGGGACATTATATCAGACGTTTTGTACCATATAATAATGAAACAAGTTAGAAAGAGTTTTTCACCAGAACAAATATATTATGATCTAAATTTCATTGCTTAATATAAGTCTACTAAATGACTCAACGGCGTCTTTTTGACATGACGGAACTGGAAATGAGTTAATAAATGTTATATTTAATGGAGATTTGTACAGTAACGTGAGTGCAAAGTTTTAGATCATTCGTACACTCGTTTATTCCAGGACACGAGTGTACAACACTTTTCCTAAAATCGAACCAAATGAAGCATTTTTTTCTGACTTCATTTATTATTTGTCTGTTGAATATCTTCTACTTTTAGTGTCCCGGTTGGTCCATGTTAGACATTTACATTTTTGTTTCAATTTTTATCCTTTTTGAACCTCAGAGGATTTCAATTAAGAATTAAGAATTATAAAAAGCATCATTAAATGATAGTTAAAAGCCAAAAGCTACCTCACAAACGATCGTACCTGAGGTTTATGTTGTTTTAAATAAGCAGACACAATAAACTTCAAAGATGGGGTTTATAGTTATTTGTATGTTAAAATTATTACTCGATATTTAAGGAAAGAAGCCAAAGAGATGGAAAAAATTTACCTGCACATTTTCTTGAACATCTGCCAATGTTGATATGTGGGAATAGTAACCTGAAGTAATTAAGTAAACGAGCCTCAGTAATTACAAATGTAATTTCTAATAAAAATATTAAGGAACTATATATAAATAAAGTAAATCATATAAGTAACAACACTGATTTTCTTTTCTTTCAATGTAATAAATAGGTTATAAATTGGGCACCAGTATCATATTGCGCACGTTAACAAAACGCAAGAAATGTCGTTTATAAACTGTTTATGCCTACATTTTCTTTGCCTTGCAAAACCTGATCGGTTGTATAATTAATTATAAGTTTGAACTTGAACATGTATACTGTCAAAAATCAACTTTTTAAATATACCTTTATTAGCACAAGCCATCCATCGAACCTCTCGGTCATCGTCAACCTCCCGTCCAATTAGAAATGTGAACACTCTCGTCTTTTTAATGAAATTATATATAACCAAAATGAAACACATCTTTGAGACAGAATAAGAGTCACGTAACAATTTTACTGTACAACCAGATCGTTGTCAGTTTGATTTTCGTTTTGCTACATTTGCAGAAGAAAGTTGACAAATTAATAAAATACATATTACAGTGATCGATAATATATATCTGAAAACAATATTGAAATCTGTTGTAAGGCTTAGAATGCGCAATACATCATTGAAATGCATATCGATGCCATTAGTTGCCTTCACATAAAATCGTTTATTCGTGTGTTCCCTGATAATAAACGAAATGCCTATATAGGGCATATATTCTTGCATCGATATCTGACTTTCCTCGTGAATAGCGTTTACTATAATTTACTTTTTAGGTAAACTACTCTAAAATAAATAATGATTAAATTGATAGAAATCGTGCTTAAAAATAAAATTCATAATATACTAACCGTGATAGCAGTAAAATTGTGTGTCCAGTGATTAAACACTCTATCGTAGTGCTCTGGTACACCGTCTGTTATCAGCAGTATCGCCATGTTACACAATTTCCCGCCACCTCCTCTTTTCATCCTCTCCTGAAAAGGACCGATATTTGTATTGTTTTGTTTCTTCTATTAATACGTCACACACATATTATAGTATAGGGCTTTTCTATTTTTAAGAAAGTGTCATTTCGAGTGGTAAAAGCGATTTTAATCAATTTGCTATTTACCGCATGCAAGCCTAGCTTTAGGTTGATACCTCTACTCGGATGAATGCTCGTATTTGAAAATATATAGAGAGACATAGAAGAACACCTTAGATGTTTATCCGACAAGAAGATTGGAAATACACCAGTTTAGTATGAACTGATACTATTTGAAATAACTGCTGAGAAATGTATGCTTAACCTACCTGATTGTTCAATAGATCATACGCCTTGTCAAAGGCCACTTTAAAATTAGCAGTATTATTTGCCCTAACTCTATCGACAGTTTCTTGGAGGCGCCGTTTATTCTGCGTTGTTGCAGGCATCATCGTCTCAGTAAAACAGCTATCCAGATATTCGATCGTATCCGAAAACTATCAAATAAATAACAAAATAAAATAAAACATTGAAAATACATAGATTTTTGTGTAATGATAAGAACATAGGTGGGTCAAATTCATTACCTATGGGCTTTAATATGACAGTATCATATATTCGGCTGAAATGATTATAATATAGATTTATTGACATTACAAAATAAATAAGCTGAACTGACTAATGTACTAAGCTCATATTTTTAGATAAATAAAGATGTAAAAACAAGCTTACTTCTTAGATTTTATTTTTTATCCATTAAATTATCTACCAACAACAAATCAGCGGACAAATATAAACAATACAACATTGCAAATACACACCCTGATGATATTGAAATAGTCGTCGTCATCTAATGTATTGAGAATCGCTTTTACAGTGCTACGAGCTATAACCATTCTTGAACCCTTCATGCTACCACTACTGTCTAGTAAAATCAAAATATTTTTTGGACGTGTTGCGGCATGCAAGTACCAGGCTCGCACCCTACAGTCGTATATATCTATTCCATTTTCATTGTCTCTAGGCCACTTGAGTCCTATAAATTAAATAAGATAACAAAGGTGTAAGAAACGCAAATTTACTGCAAGTTAATATAACTATAATAAGCAACTAGTATAATGTCAACAATGTTTTATATTGTCAAGTAAAATGCATAAAAAGCCATTATCAATAAACTGGAGGTGCAATTGATAATCTAAATAGATACAGACTAATATCATTCACAGTTAATATACTATGATCAAGACAACGAGGACACGCATGTTAGCTATTAGCAAATAAACATATAAAAATGTTTTTTTTTATTCAAACTGAATAAAATAAAATATGATAAGATACATATAATTCTATAATTATTAAGCATTAGCAAATCAGCGTAGATGAATAACAAAGTGCCCATCTGTTAAATGAAATAAATAGACATAAAAAGATGCATACGCAATTATGTGTCACCAGACTTTAGACATGACACACTATCTTATCATACAAGAAGATCAAAGATATCTTATTTCATATAAACAATATCAACTGGAAATAGGAAGTTAGAACTAGTATGAAAAGACCAGAAACAATGTCAGTAATTACTAATACCACTATCCGACAGGGTCTTATTTCACGAACTAATAAATGACTTATCTTTGTCCAGGCACGTGGAAAAGTATATTTTTAACTTGAGGGAGTTGTTTTCTTGCTACATGCTCAAGTAAAAGTTGTATTGCATCGCTGAGTGACAAATAAACGTCTATACTTATTATTATTTTAGCCTTTTTTGAGGAACAAATAGAATTACACACGTTATAAATAACATGGATACGTTTGAAGAAATCAATTGAAACTGAATCATGTTCCAACTTTTATCACGTTTGCCACAGTGTGAACGGAAATAAACAGAACTAAATAGTATTAAGAGAATTTACACTCGTTAAAAGCGACAAGCGGAGAAAAATGCATGGTCATAAAATGACCGTTTTAGCATGTTCAACGTAATAATTGAATAAACAACTGGTATGTGTTGATAATAAGGACAATTTAATACGGAATGTCTTTTATAGTTAATGGAATTAGTGCTTGAAATATTGTAAACATATAATTATTTTATCAGGATTCAGTTTCTAAATAGAGTTGTCATTTCATTTTGTTAAAAGAACTTAGAAAAGTGGTATTGAGTTTAAAAAGGGAGAGAGGAAATAAAAAATCATTGTATTATTCAAGTTCACCTAATTATGCATTAACATCAATTAAATTATGAAATACATATCCATAAATTTGAAAGGTATTGTTTAGCCACGCAATCTCTGTGAAAATCTTTTCTTCTAAATTATCAAATCGCGGAAATAGACACAAGGTGCCGAAGTTGAAGAAGGAACATCGATGATTATTCGGCAACCTGAACAACAAATGGACGACGGAGAAGACTATCGGTTGTTCAAAAAGCCCCGACAAAGAAGAAAAAAGGGTTTTAGATTTATATAACAAATTGTACAGTACAAATTCGGGGTATACTGTAACTTTCCAAACATAAAAATTACGATAGCAAAATAAAGTATATAACATGATGACTTATATTCTATTTACCTGGAAAAACTCGGAAGAATCCATCAGTACTACAGAAATATTGCCATCTTAACGATTTATCTTTTCTCTCATTTTCTCTAAATTGTTCATTTAACTTCTGTGTCCAATATGCACCATTTAAAATTTTTGGAACTGAAATGTAATGGTTAAAACATTCTTAAATAAAATTGTGTTAAAACATTTATAATGCGAAGAGGCTTTGTTCTGTTTCTATGTCGATTTTCACATGATTTATGTCAGATCTGCGCTTTTTCCACTTTTTGTTATGTATTAATTTAAATTGGGATAAATACATAATTCTTAAAAAAACTGTGTTATATTTTTGCTTAGGTAACAAAATAACAAAACATTGAAATTATAGGACATATCTGACGAATTAAGACAATTTACGCTATCCTTTCAATTGTACAAGAAAATACATTTTTAGACATGAAACACTTAACAGCATGGGACAAAATATACATGTACGTAATTTAACAATAAATGTTTTTCATCATACATTAGACAGAAGTATTATGAAGTCCATATGAAGCATTCACTTCCACTAATCATACATATTGGTAAGCAAATTTATTTCCCTGACTCATTCTTAAGTCAATACACTGATGTACCACTTACGAATCTAATACACATTGGCAAAAAAGGTTTTGACTGACTTATAGTTACGTGAAAATTGACTTGTTCACTAACATCTATTATACATATTTGGTAGAAAATCTATTTGACTGAATCAATGCAATGTCAACATTGATGCTCTATTGGAGTACATATTGACTTATATACATACTGCTATTATACTCGTATATTGACAGAAACATGAAAATGTCGGATCCATTAAAATGTCAAAATTGACGCTGTAATAATGTCAACATTGAAGTGTTTTCTTACATTTATCATACATGTATGCAGGCAAATTTATTTGACTGCATTATTAAGATGTCAACATGTACGCTCGCTCTAATTATGTCAACACTGACTTGTTCATGTACAGCAATTATACATAGTAACATGGAAATGACTGATCCATTATAAAGTCAACACTGTTAACATTTACGTGTTTACTTACATCTATCATAAACATTAGTAGGCACGTGAACGGTGCTGTTGTCGTGACTAACAGGCTCGTTGTTGAATTTCTTATCAGGAGTTAGTTCCAATGACCTTGCTGTTTGCATCAATTCAGCCATATATGTATTAGAATTTTGTGTAATATATCCTACATCTTCTGAGCTAAATAGTTTTTTGCTATTAAGGTAATCAATCTGAAAAATTATGTCTTCAATATTATACAAACAGTTTAATAATTCAACCTTTTCCTAGGCATATTTACCCCTAAATAAGTGTGATTTCATTTCTAAAAACGTGTCATGTTATTAAATCTAAAAATATTTTCCAATTGCCATATAGCTAAAACAGTTATTCTAAACGAATTATTTCACACATATTTGCTTACCCTATAGTACAGAATAATATGCCTTTAAAAACGAACACTATCAAGAATTAAAGCATCTAGACAGATCGCTGGAGAGCTTACAGCAAAATAATTATAAGTATAGTAAGATCATATCGTTATAAAAGAATGTAATGGTAACAAGTAATAAACTCTAAATAGTTTAAAATAAAATGCTGATCCGGTAAGAAAACAAAATTACTTCATACGAAAAAAATACCTCGGTTTGCAATTATGAAACTTTCGTACTAGGATATTTCAATTAGAGTTGACGTTCTTTGTACAATTTTGAGAGAGGAATCGATATATTTTACTTGCCATATTCACACTTCAAATAAAATTGATTTGACATTAGCTAAGCGCAATACTTACATCTAAATCCGGATCGTAGGTGTAGTTTTGATAAATTCGTTCGGCCTCCTTTGCGAGTGCCTGCAATAAGAGTAAACGTATCTCAGATTTATTGCCATTTTAGGAAGAAATTTATGCCCCCTTAAAACAACGACTTAATTATAACTAGAAGATTAAACATATTTTGTAAAAAAATACTTTTATCATTTAAGAACTGAATGCTTTTACTATAAGTTATTGAGATGTTTAGCATTTAGAATTGTGTCTTGAAAAAAATTTCAATCAAGGGCTATCGAAAATTAAAAATCAAAACAAAATGGCAACCGCCAAAGATTTTCCGCAAAGTTTGTGAAGAAACAAAATAAAAACAAGAAAGTAAAATAACAAATGCATTTTGACATTTTTGATTTTGTGAAAAAAGGTAAAAACCTTATACAAATGTATAATCACCAGTTTTGAAACCTCGTGACAATTGGAGAAGTACTTTTATTCATAACTAGGTCAATAATATTTCATAGTCTGACATTACCACGTAGCACTTACCTCAACGGCATCAAGTTTCTCCTTGAGCAAGTCTTTGATGTCATTTGCTATCATCTTTATCAAATCTTTCTGATCCTTACCGTCTGCTGATTGCATGTAGCTCTGAAAATGTAGCTGTATATACAGACATGACAGAAAAAGAATGGGATATGAACGTTAAATTAGATTAACTATCAGAACTTTCAATACTTAAGTGCTCATGTTGTCCCTCTGCCTTAATTTAAACAAATTGGGAGCGACGTTGCGGGCATCTGTCACAATAATTTTCATTATTTGCCATTACGGTAATGCTTTTGCTAAAGGAAACTCCATTCCAAGCGTCGTTCTAAACTGATACTTTAGTGCATCGTCCAGTTTGATCTTCATTTATTAACTTCATTATTCGTTGTGAAAAAGAAATGTTGTTGAAATTTAAATGTTATAAAAATGTAGGAAAGCAAACTGCAATAAATAAACTTAATACCGCAAAGTAGTTTTAAAATTTGAATGAAAGAAATAAATATTTTGCGGGTTCAAATCAACCACGAAATTCCTATTTCTTTCTCGTAAACTACTTGGAAAACAGCATGCTTTTTAAGATAGGATATGTAAACATTGAAGGTGAAAAATAATATTTATTCTTTACGTAACTGCTTTTTAGTTTAGAAATTCATCTTTGCTATTGTACTTTTGTTATATACTAAGGAAATGTAAATAACAGTACATAATAACCCATTGTTTTTGTATGTATTGATCAGCATTTCACTTTTAACATTATTGCTTACAAAAGTCACTCACATTTCTAACGTGTTCATTCGGGACTGTAATTAGTTTTACCTTAATTGGATAGTCAGTGAACTTAATCTATCTTCTTTCTAATTATTGCGAGTTAATTGTATCCCTTGCCAGTTCAAATAAGATCATGATTGACGACAAACTCGTACAGGCATAAACAAAGTGGTTTATTTCCTCACAATTAGCACAAAAAATGCCGTGAGAACACTTATATATATATATATCAGTTACTGACAAAAACAAGAAAAATACAGATTAAGAAAATCTCTAGGTCTATGATAAATGATAATGCTATGCTAGAAAAGAGAAAATAATAAAATCACGTCCTATGTCCGTTAACACAATACTTCATAATTTGCAGTACATAAACTTATATTATGTTTTAATAGTTTGACATTGTATGGCTATTTGATTTAAATGCCTGTGTCTCGGAGGCATCTTATTCCATTTTCCACGTACGCCATTGACAATTTATACAACTTTATATATTTTTGTACCATTATTTATGTTAAAATCATTTTATCCACTCCCGCTCCCAAACAAATCTATGCTGTATTGAGATTAAATGGAAATTAAAAAATTAGATTCAGTAAAAATACCACCCTCTAAAATATCCTGTAAAATCTTTCAAAACCGTTATATTTCATTAGCATGTAATCAACATTTAACCATGATTGAACATTTCTACTCACATTTTGAATTGTAAAGACTTTTACCGAAAGATACATTTTTAAATAATAAAAAAATACATATCTTACATCTGAAATTGACCTGTATGACGTCACCCTTTCACTAAATGAGGTCAACTGATTACTCAGGCTATCAGACCACATCTTTACTCTGAAAATACAGAAAACAAATGTCATAAGCTTATTATCTGCACTTTTTATTGTTAAGAAATTACACTATGATCGCTTACTATTCGATAGCCTCATTTTAGCGGCTTTGAAAAAAGGTTTATTAGGTTGCTCTTTGTTGAGTTTGATTTCGTGTCTGTTTGCCGATGTTTTTTATAAAATCACCGCCATTATTGTTACGATAGAGAATCGAAATAAGTTAAAATGTGTTGTAAATGCTACGTGACAGGCCTGTCAATATCCCACCTAAACTTAGATAAACAACAAACAAAAAGAATAACACCACGATCATGTATTAGTTAATATTTAATTATAACTAAAGAGGTTAAGGCTTGTGTATAACAGAGAATATGCTAAGACAAACCAGTCAATTATTATGCACCCATATATTCGTCATGATCATTAATATTTTTGTAAAGTTGGTACAGTGTTATATAGTTCGTGTCGAATTAGACTTATATGTTAGCCTTAAAATAAAGGAAATCCCATCAAATTGAAATATTTTTTCGGCTTAATTTTGAGAAGTCAACATTTTTTTCTAAACTTATGGTTTTTTAGTAAAACGCCCTTGGTACAAATCTTTGAACATTTTTTTCACCAAGCAAATTATTCAAATAAATGTGTTTTAGAAAAATTATGCCAAGAGACATTGTACATTTTGATGATAGGGCAGCTAGTCTCTGAATACTTATTAAACTGATACATGCCGCGATCCTAATAATTCCATCTCATGATACATCTACTTTACTATATGGCTTTAAGGAGTTTAAGTAGCAAGGAACCATTCTCCACTAATGGATACGATATGTTAATTGCTGTGAATTAGATTACACCGGAGATAAAATAGATTTTTGACTTTTTTTCTAGACGCTCCTATAACGATTATAACGCAATGACGTGCATGTCCATCGCAGAAAATATTTATACTTTAAAGTTTGCCTTATACTTGAGTATACATTATGTTAGTAATCAAATTAGATTTGTACCACATGGCAATGAAGCAAATGATTGGCTTTGGCATTTACATCTAGATTTACACTTAGATATCAAAATAGTATCTATGAAATAAATTATTATAACATTTGTGTGTCTGTTTTCGTTCTCTCGATGCACAATATTTTACAATGAAAGCCATTTTCTTTTGAAATCAATCCAAATATTACTCTATACCAACGTTCAATAACTAAATGAAGATATATTTTGGGTAACATGTATCTAAACCTCCAGACAAAAATTAATCTAATAGTCCTTCCTTTTAATACAGTAAAATGCATATTGAGAGCGAATGATTTACAGAACATACATATGAGGAAAAAAAAGGACAAAGCCTTTCACTGGTGAATTTGACAAATATAATTGTCAATTATCAATCTTTCTAACAGTAACTGTCAAATACATGTTTCAATATTTGGGATATCAAGATGAAGATTAAGTCTGTTATTCAACCGTATAGAGCCTCTACCTGTTCAGGTCTCGATGATATATTTTTCAGAGACATGTCTCGGGTCTCAGGATTTTCATTGACCAGTGCACATTCTGTGCCTGTTTCAGAAGAATCAAATGTCTGGGATCTGAGTCCGAGACACTGGCGTCAAAGCCTTATCCCTTCAGCAGGGAATTGCTTAATTGACATTGTTCAAAAACTATTATCTTTAAATATATATCGTACAGCAATATGATATATGAACTGTTTGTTTTGTCTGAACGTTTTTGTTTATGTTTGATCCAGAGTCCATGTATTTTTACAGACATGAGAAAACAGATCAACTTTTATTTAGCTCTGTTTTCTTTCTTCAGTCAGAATATCATGAATTCTGATAATGCTGACACGTGACAAAGTACAAAGATGCCTTTCAGACGTGTTTATTGAATGTGTTAATTGATATAATGAGTAATATAGTAAGGGAAGACGAATTATTGAGACAAATTGTTGGCTTTATGATGTCACTAGAATGAACGAGGATAATGAGGTATAATGTAATGGAAATGCCACTCTGGCGTTATACAATCAATCCTTTCAGAAACTGTTGACAATGATGTTGCCCAATTACCATGAGGTATAATAATTTTATTTAGATTTTTCCATTTACAATTCAAAGAATGGACCTTCAAAGTTAATGGACAACAATATATTTTGTTTTTTAAGCATTGTATATGACATAACAATATGCTTGTGTATATAGTAATATATCTCTGAAAGCTAGCTGTAAAATATGTTATTGACGGAGTCCTTTGGGCAAATGTTAACAAACGCTTTTAGATACAGGCTAGACAATAAAGCATTTGCTCCATATTTCTCTAAAATAACTTAAAAGAAGCAAAAACCAAACGTAACAATTTGGTGTCCGCTTTTGTTGTGTGTGCTAATTATAGTTATACACACCTGATTACACATATCCTTTTAAGACCTTTTAGACGTCGGAAGTGGTCGAGACAAATTGAATACTATTGCATTAAAACAAATCTCTAATGTGTTGACTTCTTTTTCATGTGAAGAAACAGGGAGGTTGCACATTCAAACGCACTTAAGAGGAAATGAAAAGGCATTCCTATAATCAATAGCATCAGTAAATCTTACCCTTTCATTAGTATCTTAAAGTGTCCATTACTGTCTGTACTTTCTAATTACTCACATAAATAACTATAATTAGCAAGACATTACCATTAAGCAAGTCAAATTGCAGCAGACGATTTCAAAGAATGCCAAGAAAAGATAAATATATGCTATGTGGTCGGAGGAACTTTTTAACTTCGGAAATGTTTTATCTTTACTAGATATGTATGCATGGTGTGATTATCCACGGGACGTGAATATTCATTTTTCATCGGAATGATTTTGTTCTATCATTTCCGTTCTGAAGAAGTAACGCATTACTTTTTTTTTAAAGGACGGCCTTCTGCTCATTAAAGTTACATAGTAGAGGTTCTAATAGTGTATTGACAAATTGTTTTATATTCTCATTTTGTATTGTCAGCTTTTATGACCTTAATATATTCGATACATTACCAATGAACCAAATTGAATTAATAAAGCTGTGAGATGGCAGTTTTCATTTGTCTTAATTATCTCGTGACACGTACATTTGTAAATGTTGTGCTCATGAACTATGATCTTCACTATTGATGTTTTTCATTTAAGCATGTTCAACAGACAGTTGGTATTGCTGCCATACTACACCTATATTTAACATCAAACATTTATCTCGTTGTTTTGGTGTTAATCGTTAAGGAAATACGGTTAGAACAACGGTATGGTAATTGACAGACTTGCATTGTTTTGAAATAAACTTGCAAAAAAGTATAATAGTGTTAATACATTACAACACCGTTTAAACAAAAACAAATAGGATGCAATCCGAAGCAATCCGTTGCTACGTGGAGTGTGTGGTTTTGCACCTTATAAAAGCTGAGTTTGCGATTTTAAACAAAGATGATCTGTCATCATTGCTCTAGAGGGGTCTGTCTTTATAGTATTTTATTTATCATTTATTCATTTTCTTCATGAAACACAAACATGTATATGTATACAATTCAGTGGACCACAACTTAAACTAAATACGATTTTTATTCTTAACTGTGCGGAAAGAGACTTTTAATATATCAGTGTTTTGATTGAAGGACGCTACAGAGAGCACTTACCGTTTTACCACGACATTTTTATATTCTCCCAAATTATAAACTTTACAAGCAACCTCTCTCACACACACATGCGGGATCTTAGTAAATTTATGTTTGTTATGTATATTGGCCAACCCATGTTAACTTAACTCAGACACAATGTATGGTGTATTAGAACCTTATTTTGCTATTGCCTAATTAGTTTTAGATAATTAAGGATGAATGACATGTCATCATATAAAATCATACTTTTGAATGATTTCCATAATAACAACAGATATTTAATGAAATTATTGTAAAATTAGAAAATATATATTCTTTGCTGTGAAGATAAATGTGTTGTTATTGCTATCTATGGAAAGACTTAATCAACCCGTTCGTTCAACATTACATTTTTCTGTTTTGGTCTAATAATAGTTTTTTCACGATTTGAATATTTTTGGTAAAGCTCATCTCTACGCATATTCAGTTTTCGATTACGTCAACTCGTACTATTCCGCCAGAGATCGCATTTTCTGTCATTTCTTTGGTATCATGTTTCGACAACTGTAATTTATATTCATTGCAGGTTTTAGGAATAGTTGATCAATAAAAGCAAATATTCTAAACAAAGAAGAACTGACGCTTCTCTTTTGAAACACGATACTCTGTAAATATCAGACACACACGCAGCATATATAGGATGTTTTCTGAGACACCAACGTTTAGTTGATCATGAAAGGTATGTTAATGGAATCAATACACAGCAAAATTAAAAGGAAAATGCTATTGTAAACAGAAACCTAAGAATATCGCTTAAGGCAATAATATCCATCCAGTTAAGAGGTAATGTAAGAAATGATTGTCCTTGTATAGTAGCTTTTATCAATACAGTAAAAACCCTCAATTAAGACCACCATCGGGACTGGACCAAAGTGGTCTTAATTGTGGGGTGGTCTTAATTGTGGATATTCTTATCATTGCTTACACACGATATGATATGGCCTATTTTAGTCATTTTGTATGAACAAACAATATGTATCATAACCTGCAAATACAATATAAAAGTATATATTTTATAATGTTACATCTGATGGGAAGAAAACATATTTCTGAAGAAATTTAATATCAAATTTTCTTTGTTCTGATTTCAATAATAATTATTGTATGAGGTACATAATTCACATATCATATCAGACTTTATTTCTTCACAAAACAAATTTGCATAAAGCAACATTAAACCACTATGAAATTAACATTCTCACCTTTTTTCATTAAATATCCCATAAATAACAGCTTTTGACACCTTGTGTAATCAAGTGTCATGCCTAAGAGCAATCAAGCAGACAATAACAACATAACAACACATTTAAGATCTAGGAAGGT